CGGTACTCTAGTTTCCTACTAAGAATGGGTTTGGTCTTAGGAAGCACACTTCAAAACCATAGAATCTCCAGTTTATTGTTATTTAAATCAGGTCTTGGGTTGTAAGCTAATCCCCCAATTTCTAATGTAGGCACATACTCCACCACCCATTTCTGTTGCCTGTCTAAGCGATTTTATATTGTAACGCATCTTATTTTGACCTCGTCTCAGTCCACGGCCGTATCATCCAACCAAGATTCAGAGATGGTTATAACTGCCGGCCCTAATTTTGTTAGCTAGAATCCTAATCTCTTGCCAATTTAGGAAGAAGTGAATCTGGCATTGACATGAAATAAAGTAAGGCCTGTTTTCATAAAATCAATCATAATCAACATATATTGCAATGGGTCATTTGTATTAAAAATAGGTAATCAATGTCATCACAGCTAAAAGGTAACTGTGCCAAAGTGCATTTGTTACACACAAAATGAAGTTCTGGCACGTTGCCTATAATTGTACATACATCCATCATGCACTGCCCACCCCTTACCACATTTTACATAGGTGCCTTTTCTGTTTTTCATGCTACTTTAGTACAGTGTGATGCACCTGTATGGTAGTGTTTTTGAGATATATAATGGCTGTATTGTCTCACATTGACCTATGTATGCATTACATATGGAGTTAAGGTTATCATTCCTAGCTACTAGACCGTCATTATCGCCGTCATTTATCTGTTCTGTTTTGCATCTGCAAATAGTTTTTGAGGTCCGGATTAATTTTTTTTGGAGATATCACCACTTAAGAAGTGCTAACAATAAGAGCTGTGTGCCATGCTTTTGTTTGGGTATGGCGGTGTGCCATACTTGCGGCGACAGTGACATTTACTTTCTGGTAGGATGGCACTGTTGGCTTTTACTGTCCAGGGGCGCTGTTACATTCATTCATCACCTTTCCCAGCCCCCCATGACTGATTTCATTCTTCATGGATTTGAAGAAGAAATATAAATATAATTATGGCAGCCTGTACCCCCCTAATGCCTGCCATTTTCACTCTTCGCTCTTTTACCCCATACAATAATATTATTTCTCTTTTCCATCCCCAGTACACTTAGTATCATGCTTTAAGCAATCACCACTGAATTACTAGTAAGATTTCCTCTTCAAAGCCCTCTTCCTGCTCACTTCTCCCTTAACTTCACAAAAACCCATTACAGATTAACCCCTTATTACACACTCCCCTTCACATCTCACTTCACATTCTGGCTTCACCAATTAACTACTAACTCCTTTCCTTCTGGTTGATCAGAAAGTTTAATCAATGGTTTTATCCTTCAAAATCACCCTCAATTCCTTTTATCGGAGTTGTGTGGTGTTTGTTGTCTCTGACCTGGTTCTTCTGTTCCTCAGCCATTTTAAAACACTGAGGGATTAACGTCACCTACAACCTGACTTTCCTTGAGTTTATAGATATATTTGGCGTTTTTCTCTGCTATTATTCTCTCCCTGTACACTAGTCAGCTGAATTTAGTTCATCGACTAAAAATTAACCTTGACTGTTTAAAACTATTCACTTCTTTCTCAGGCGACTGCCCACTGAGGGATAACCGTCCCTATAACCATTGGGAGTTTTGGTCTGTTTGATTTGACGATTCTCCTGTGTTTTCCCTCTCGTTAGGCCACTGGTACAGGTGATATGATTGTGGTACAGATATTATGCTAACTGTCACAGATGAGACGTCAGTGCAGATGAGAATTTCACTTCGCTAGTTGTACCTGTATTTTTTTGTCTCTGTATGTATTACCTGAGTTTTTACCTGGAGAGAGTTTCGGGGGTCAACGCCCCGCAGCCCGTCTGGTGACCAGGCTCCTGGTGGAATCAGCGCCTGACAACCAGGACTGTTGCTTGCTGGCTGCGCACGCAAACCAACGTACGAGCCACAGCCCGGCTGATCTGGAACTGGACTTTAGGTGCTTGTCCAGTGCCAGCTTGAAGGACTGCCAGAGGTCTGTTGGTAATCCCCCTTATGTGTGCTGGGGAGTGAGCAGTTGAACAGTCCGGGCCCCTGAACAACATTATGTATGGTCTCTTAACGTGCTGTGACAAACCCCCTGCTTTTTTCATTGGGGGATGGTGCATCGTCCTGCAAGTCTTTTGCTTTGTAGTGAGTATTTTCGTGTGCAAGTTCGGTACTAGTCCCTCTAGGATTTTCCAGGGTGTATATATCATGTTCTCTCCCCTCCCTGCGTTCCAGGGAAACCAGGTTTAGAAACCTCAAGTCGCTCCCAGTAATTGAGTGTTTTTATCTCCGTTATGCACGCCGTGAAAGTCTCTGTACATTTTCTAGGTCGGGGGGGCAATTTCACCTGCCTTTAAAGGTGCTTTTAAAGTGCAGCAATATTCCAGCCTAATAGAACAAGTGACCGTGAAAGAGTGTCATCAATGGGCTTGGCCTCCCTATATTAAGTTCTCATTATCCATCCTGTCCATTTTTCTAGCAGATGCATTGATACATTGTTTTATGGACCCTGAAAGGTGAAATCCTCCGACCTAATCACTCCCTCTATGTCTTTGACGTTGTGTTTCGCTCTATTTTGTGCCAGAATTTTGTTTGTATCTCTGATGAAGATTTAATTTCGCTCATGTATACCATATCTGAGTAATTGAAATTTCTCATCGTTGAACTGTCATATTGTTTTCTCCTGCAGCCCACGAAAGATTTGGTATGTCGCGCCTGGAGCCTTGGCAGTGTCTGCAATGAAGACTCTGTCCATGCAGATTCGGGTGTCATCTGCAAAGGAAGACACGGTGCTGTGGCTGACATCCTTGTCTATGTCGGATATGAGGATGAGGAACAAGATGGGAGTCTAGTCAGTGCCTTGTGGAATACAGAGCTTTTCACCGAGCTGCCTCGGACTTTACTCTGTTGACGACTACTCTCTGTGTTCTGTTAGTGAGGAAATTATAGATCCATCGACCACTTTTCTTCGTTATTCCTTTAAGCGCGCATTTTGGTGCCTGTTAACGCCATGGTCACACTTGTCGAAGGCTTTTGCAAAGTCTGTATATATTACATCTGCATTCTTTTTGTTTTTAAAGTGCATTTAGGACCTTGTCGTAGTGATCCAATAGTTGAGAAAAGACAGGAGCGACCTGTTCTAAACCCATGTTGCCTGGGTTGTGTAATGATGGGTTTCTAGATGGGTGGTGATCTTGCTTCTTAGGACCTTTCAAAGATTTTTATGTATGGGATTTTTAGTGCTTTTTGGTCTGTAGTTCTTTGCTGTTGCTTTACTGCCCCCTTTGTGGAGTGGGGTTTATGTCTGTTGTTTTTAGTAACTGTGGACGACCCGTGTCCATGCTCCCTCTCCATAGGATGGAAAAGGCTCGTGATAGGGGCTTCTTGCAGTTCTTGATGAACACAGAGTTCCATGAGTCGGGGCCCTGGGGCAGAGTGCATGGGCATGTCATTTATCGCCTGTTCGAAGTCATTTGGCGTCAGGAAAAAATCGGATAGGCTTGTGTTAATCAAATTTTGTGGCTCTCTCATAAAAAAAATTTATTTTGATCTTCGACACTCAGTCTGGTTTTGCGGCTTGCTAAAAACTGAGGGCATATTGGGACTTGAGTAGCTCACTTTTCCTTGCTGTCATCTGTTGTAGGATCCATCTGTTTAAGTAGGGGCCCAATATGGACGTTGTTCTCGATTTTGATTTGGCATAGGAGAAGAAAAAACTTTGGGTTTCTTTCGATTTTCATTTATGGCTTTTTGTTCTTCCCGCGATTCTGACTCGTAAAGGGATTCTTTTAGCTTAAGTTCGATGCTTGCTATTTCTCTGACCAGTGTCTCCCCGCGCATTTCAGATATATTGACCTTTTTAGCCGCTCTGTTATTCTTTTCCGTCGCCTGTAAAGGGAGCGCCTGTCTCTTTCTATTTACATCTACTCCTCCTTTTTCTTAGAGGAATAAGCCTTGTGCATACATCGAGTGCCACCGAGTTAATCTGTTCTAGGCATAAGTTTGGGTCTGTGTTGCTTAGTATATCTTCCCAGCTTATATCGGTTAGTACTTGGTTTACTTGGTCCACTTTATGTTTTTGTTATTGATGTTGAATTTGGTGAATGCTCCTCGTGACTAGTCTCATTTTGTCGGTCTGGGGCTCCACGCATACATGTCTGAACCTCAATTATGTTGTGATCTGAGTATATTGTTTTTGATATGGTGACATTTCTTATCAGATCATCATTGTTAGTGAAGATGAGGTCTAGTGTATTCTCCAGTCTAGTAGGCTCTATTATTTGCTGGTTTAAATTTAATTTTGTGCAGAGATTTAAAAGTCGTGTGAGTGTGAGTTTTCATCAGAGCTGCCTCCTGGTGTTATTACTGCAACAATATTATTTGCTATATTCCTCCATTTTAGGTGCCTTAAGTTGAAGTCCCCCAGGAGCAAGATGTTGGGTGCAGGAGCTGGAAGATTTTCCAGACAGTGGTCAATTTTTAACAGCAGTTCCTGGAATTGCTGGGATGTTGCATCCGGAGGCTTGTAGACTACCACAATGACTAGGTTTTGGTTCTCGACCTTTACTGCTAAAACTTCCACTACATCATTTGAGGCATTAAGCAGTTCTGTGCAAACAAATATAAATAAAATAAATAAATAATAAATAAATAAATACAACTTGCTACTAATAAATCCTCAGTTGTGGTGGCCCTCAACAACTTGCTACTAATAAAGCCTCAGTTGTGGTGGCCCTCAACAACTTGCTACTAATAAAGCCTCAGTTGTGGTGGCCTCAACAACTTGCTACTAATAAGCCTCAGTTGTGGTGGCCCTCAACAACTTACTACTAATAAAGCCTCAGTTGTGGGGCCCTCAACAACACCAACAACAATAAGAATTCGTCAATTTTATTAAAGTTTTTCTTAATTATTGTCAATATTTGAAGCTCTGGAGTAACTACCACTGTAACATATATTTGTGAGGTAAGTAAACATTCTCTTATATTGTTATTTATTGTCACAATGTGATGAATCAGCGGAAATAATGATAATACTGTTGTAAGTGATCATTATATTACCATCACCTCGCTAACTTTGCTAAGTTTATTTAAGTTCAGTTACACGTAACCAAAGTTACATATCAGTTCAGTGACACACAAGTTCAGTGACACACAAGTTCAGTGACACACAAGTTCAGTGACACACAAGTTCAGTGACACACAAGTTCAGTGACACACAAGTTCAGTGACACACAAGTTCAGTGACACACAAGTTCAGTGACACACAAGTTCAGTGACACACAAGTTCAGTTACACATAAGTTCAGTTACATACAAGTTCAGTTACACATAAGTTAGTTACACATAAGTTCAGTTACACATAAGTTCAGTTACATACAAGTTCAGTGACACACAAGTTCAGTTACACATAAGTTCAGTTACACATAAGTTCAGTTACACATAAGTTCAGTTACACATAAGTTCAGTTACTTACAAGTTCAGTGACACACAACTTCAGTTACATACAAGTTCAGTTACACATAAGTTCAGTTACACATAAGTTCAGTTACACATAAGTTCAGTTACATACAAGTTCAGTTACACACAAGTTCAGTTACACACAAGTTCAGTGACACACAAGTTCAGTGACACACAAGTTCAGTGACACACAAGTTCAGTTACACACAAGTTCAGTGACACACAAGTTCAGTGACACACAAGTTCAGTGACACACAAGTTCAGTGACACACAAGTTCAGTGACACACAAGTTCAGTGACATAAGTTCAGTTACACATAAGTTCAGTTACATACAAGTTCAGTTACACACAAGTTCAGTTACACACAAGTTCAGTTACACATAAGTTCAGTTACACATAAGTTCAGTTACACATAAGTTCAGTTACATACAAGTTCAGTTACACACAAGTTCAGTTACACACAAGTTCAGTTACACATAAGTTCAGTTACACATAAGTTCAGTTACATACAAGTTCAGTTACACAAGTTCAATTACACATAAGTTCAGTAACACAAGTTCAGTTAATTATAATTATCATACATAGTAACATATGTGTAAATTACTTAAGATAACCAAAAAGTCAATGTGGATTATTTTCATGAAGGTCCTTGTAATATTGTTATTGTTTGACCCATACAGGTTTAGTGCTCAATTATGAATGTAATAATAACACAGGTTTTGATAATTAACTTAACCTACTGCAGTAGAGGTCATCCATATATAACTTTAGCTAATATATCTACTAACATAGCATAAATGGTTTTATTATATTATGTTGTGCCACACTTAGGTCATACTACGCAGGTGTGCACATGTTGTGGCACACTTAGGTCATACTACGCAGGTGTGCACATGTTGTGCCACACTTAGGTTATACTACGCAGGTGTGCACATGTTGTGCCACACTTAGGTTATACTACGCAGGTGTGCACATGTTGTGCCACACTTAGGTCATACTATGCAGGTGTGCACATGTGCCACACTTAGGTCATACTACGCAGGTGTGCACATGTTGTGCCACACTTAGGTCATACTACGCAGGTGTGCACATGTTGTGCCACACTAAGGTCATACTACGCAGGTGTGCACATGTTGTGCCACACTTAGGTCATACTACACAGGTGTGCACATGTTGTGCCACACTTAGGTCATACTACGCAGGTGTGCACATGTTGTGCCACACTTAGGTCATACTATGCAGGTGTGCACATGTTGTGCCACACTTAGGTCATACTATGCAGGTGTGCACATGTTATGCCACACTTAGGTCATACTACACAGGTGTGCACGTGTTGTGCCACACTTAGGTCATACTATGCAGGTGTGCACATGTTGTGCCACACTTAGGTCATACTACGCAGGTGTGCACATGTTGTGCCACACTTAGGTCATACTACACAGGTGTGCACATGTTGTGCCACACTTAGGTCATACTACGCAGGTGTGCACATGTTGTGCCACACTTAGGTCATACTACACAGGTGTGCACATGTTGTGCCACACTTAGGTCATACTACACAGGTGTGCACATGTTGTGCCACACTTAGGTCATACTATGCAGGTGTGCACATGTTGTGCCACACTTAGGTCATACTATGCAGGTGTGCACATGTTGTGCCACACTTAGGTCATACTACACAGGTGTGCACATGTTGTGCCACACTTAGGTCATACTACGCAGGTGTGCACATGTTGTGCCACACTTAGGTCATACTACGCAGGTGTGCACATGTTGTGCCACACTTAGGTCATACTACCACAGGTGTGCACATGTTGTGCCACACTTAGGTCATACTACGCAGGTGTGCACATGTTGTGCCACACTTAGGTCATACTATGCAGGTGTGCACATGTTGTGCCACACTTAGGTCATACTATGCAGGTGTGCACATGTTGTGCCACACTTAGGTCACACTACACAGGTGTGCACATGTTGTGCCACACTTAGGTCATACTATGCAGGTGTGCACATGTTGTGCCACACTTAGGTCACACTACACAGGTGTGCACATGTTGTGCCACACTTAGGTCACACTACACAGGTGTGCACATGCATATATATACACACACATCTAGGTTTTCCTTCTTTTCTCTTAACAGCTCTTGTTCTTCTGTATTTCTTCTATTCTTCATGGGGAAGTGGAAAAGAATCTTTCCTCCGTAAGTCTTAGGTGTTGTAAGAGGCGACTAAAATGCCGGGAGCAATGGGCTAGTAACTCCTCCTCCTGCATAAACTACTAAAAAAGAAAAGAAAAACTTTATAAAACTAGGATGTTTGAATTTGCGTGGATGTAGTGCAGATGATAAGAAAGAGATAATTGCTAATGTTATGACTGAAAAGAAGTTGGATGTCCTAGCTCTAAGCAAACCAAAGCTGAAGGGGGTTGGTTAGTTTCAGTTGGGAGAAATAAATATGATTAAGCCGAGAGTATCTGAGAGTTAGAGCTAAGGAATGGGGTAGCAATAATGTTGAAGGATCAGTTATGGAAAGAGAAGAGGCATTATAAATACAGCGGAACCTCGTTTTTCTGCCACTGCGTTTATCAGCTGATTTGTATTTAGGCTGATTTTTCGGTGGAAATTTTGCTCTGTATTTCAGCCGTTGTCTCGTATATCAGCCGTATTAGATGCGTTAGCCCGCCTCTCCCACTGGACCGCCATGCTTTGGTGAGTCAGTTTCCCTTTGTCTGTCGGCGAGTGAGCATATACTCCACGTATTTATCCAGACATTTCCTTAACCCCTTGACTGTCGAAACCCCAAATCCTGAAATGTCTCCTGGTGTCAAAAAATATTCAAAAAAAGAAAAACATTATTTTTCTTATGAAAATGTTAAGATTATTTTCTGATTGTTTTAGTCCAAAAAATTTTTTTGCCATCAGTTCTTACTGAGATGTAGAGGCGTGAAGTTGGCAAAAAATGAGCCACTTATGGCAACAGCGGTGACTGCTGCTCACCCGGTAAACTTTGGTTTACTTGTATTCGAAGGTTTCTTGTTTTTTTCACTATTTTATTTTTCACATAACTTATGTGGCCTGTGAGACCAAAGTATGGTGCAATGTTCGTATATACATTTGTTGAATGTAACACAGTTATAGCAAAAACACTAGTATCATCATATTGTTTACAAAACTTGTTTACTCAAACAAACAATATAAAAATTTTTTTATTACGAATGTTCTATAATATATATACACCTACCATCTGACTTACGACCGAGCTTGGTTCCGACAAACCAGTCGTAAATCAAAATGGACGTAAGTCGAACTTTACTAATGAATATCAACATCACATTTTTGTAATGACTTTATTTTATTGATTTATTTTGGTATTTCATTTTTTACTTTACTTTTTATGCTGTTAGTACTGTATTTTATACTGTAAGGTTTAGGATAAACACTGTGTACAACACAAACAGTTGTTTATTTCCCAGATATTTGGCATAAAAAACACTGTCATAAGTCGAGTGGTCGTATGTCAAGCAGGTTGTAAGTCGGATGGTAGGTGTACATATGTACAATCACTGGACACTTTCATAGAACTGCTGCAGCTTGTGGAATTCTTTGAAACACGGGTGTATGCACAATGGTGTTTTACACTCCTTACACATAAAACAAGTGTCTTTGTTTTTGTGGGCATTTTGTGGTATGTGCACAGACCTAACACCTCTTCTGAGCATTATTCTTGAAAGCAGTAGCAGGCAGTGGCATGGGATAGTGATCGTGGGCGCTGGTCTACTGCAGGTGTTGTTCCTTGGTACTTGAATATTATTTGTCTGATAACTGACAAACAAAATTCACCATATTTGGGTTTGTTGTTGGTCTTCAACTTATACATATTATAAGCATTCAGCATGGAAATGTCAACAAGATGGAAAAAGAATTTTATGTACCACTTATAACTCTTGCAAACACAATCAGCAAACCCAATCTGCATGTCACATTTGTCCACTAAGCACATATTGGGGTTGTAATCCATTACAGCTGCAGGTTTTACAATGGGTTCATTGGTCTCTCTATTCTGCTTGCCACTGTCTACCATTTCGTGTCAGTGAACTGATGTCAACAGTGTGACATCACGTTTGTCATGCCACCGAAATGCCATGATGTCATTAGCAGCAAAAACCTGAACATCACCTCAACGAGTGCCAGTGTCGAACCTAGGCATATGCTTACGATTTCCATGCACTCTGCCACGCACATCTGTCATGCTCACTCGCAAGAAATCACTGAGTAAAGGGCTTGTGTACCAGTTGTCAGTATATAAAATATGCCCCTTACCAAGATATGGTTCCATCATTGTTCTGACCACATCACCAGAGATACCCAGCAACTTTCTGGTATCTTGCAATGTTTTACTGCCAGTGTACACAATTATATCCAAAACCAGACCACTTTTGCAATCACACAGTACCAATAACTTTATACCAGAGTGTTTCCTCTTGCTTGGTATGTACTGCTTGAATGAC